ACGTCGGCTTAGGATGGTGGTTCCCTTGGCGTACTTGGTTGGCAAGAAAGAGAGGATGTGGGAGAGGATCTCGTCCGGTAAGGAGCTTAGCTTGTCGCCGATTCCTAGCTCCGATACCTTCCATTCAACATTTCTCGCTATTTTACCAGTGTTCTCATCCATCAACAGAAGGTGTGATGTGCCTTCTGATTGAGAACCTGTACTGCAAGATTGAGAATTTGATATCACTGGGAGGTGGTCGTATGGAAAAAGGAAGAAAAAAAAGAAGAAAAGGGATTTGTTGTTGGGTTTACCTTTTTCGCAATACAACTTGGATTGCTTTTATTAATGGATTACATGGACGTTATAATCGAGTCGCGTTGTTGTCAAATAAAATAATAAGTGGGCGTTCAAACCAAAGTTTTTGAGAAAGGATATGCCATTGGTTTACCTCCTTTATAGTAAATTTTGGATTGCTTTTATTAATGAATTATAAAAGCGTTACAATCCAATAGTGATTGCGCTATAAGAAACATGTGTGGGCGTTCAAACCAAAGTTTTTGAGAAAGGAAACGTCATTGGGTTTACCTTCTTTACAGTCAAAACTTGGATTGATTTTATTAAATGAATTATAGAGGCGTTACAATCTAATTGTAGTTGCCCTATTAGAGAAATGAGTGGACGTTCAAACCAAAGTTTTTGAGGAAGGAAATGACAATTGGTTTACCTTCATTACAATAAAACTTAGATTGCTTTTATTAATGAATTTTAGAGGCGTTACTATCCAGTCGTGGTACTATAAGAGAAATGATAGGCATTCAAACCAAAGTTCTTAAGAAAGGAAATGTCATTGGATTTACCTTCCGTACAATAAAAGTTGGATTCTTTTTATTAATGAATTATAGAGGCATTACAATCCAGTTGTGGTTGCAGTATAAGAAAAATGAGTGTACGTTCAAACCAAAGTTCTTGAGAAAAGAAATGTCAATGGGTTTACCTTCTTTATAGTAAAACGTGGATTGCTTTTATTAATGGATTACATGGACGTTATAATCGAGTCGCTGTTGTCAAATAAAATAATAAGTGGGCGTTCAAACCAAAGTTTTTGAGAAAGGAAATGCAATTGGTTTACCTCCTTTGTAGTAAATTTTGGATTACTTTTATTAATGAATTATAAAAGCGTTACAATCCAATAGTGATTGCGCTATAAGAGACATGTGTGTGCGTTCAAACCAAAGTTTTTGAGAAAGTAAACGTCATTGGGTTTACCTTCTTTACAGTAAAACTTGGATTGATTTTATTAAATGAATTATAGAGGCGTTACAATCTAATTGTAGTTTCCCTATTAGAGAAATGAGTGGACGTTCAAACCAAAATTTTTGAGAAAGGAAACGTCATTGGGTTTACCTTCTTTACAGTAAAACTTGGATTGATTTTATTAAATGAATTATAGAGGCGTTACAATCTAATTGTAGTTGCCCTATTAGAGAAATGAGTGGACGATTCAATTGCTGTTGTCAAATAAAATAATAAGTGGGCGTTCAAACCAAAGTTTTTGAGAAATGAAATGCCATTGGTTTACCTCCTTTATAGTAAATTTTGGATTGCTTTTATTAATGAATTATAAAAGCGTTACAGTCCAATAGTGATTGCGCTATAAGAGACATGTGTAGGCGTTCAAACCAAAGTTTTTGAGAAGAAAATGTCATTGGGTTTACCTTCTTTATAGTAAAACTTGGATTGATTTTATTAAATGAATTATAGAGGCGTTACAATCTAATTGTAGTTGCCCTATTAGAGAAATGAGTGGACGTCCAAACCAAAGTTTTTGAGAAAGAAAATGACAATTGGTTTACCTCCATTACAATAAAACTTAGATTGCTTAATGAATTTTAGAAGCGTTACTATCCAATCGTGGTACTATACGAGAAATAATAGGCATTCAAACCAAAGTTCTTAAGAAAGGAAATGTCACTGGATTTACCTTCTGTACAATAAAAGTTGGATTGTTTTTATTAATGAATTATAGAGGCATTACAATCCAGTTGTGGTTGCAGTATAAGAAAAATGAGTGTACGTTCAAACCAAAGTTCTTGAGAAAAGAAATGTCAATGGGTTTACCTTCTTTATAGTAAAACTTGGATTGCATTTATTAATGAATTATAGAGACTTTTTATTAATAAATTATAGAAGCGTTACAATTCAGTTGTGGTTGCAGTATTAGAAAAATAGGTGGGCGTTCAAACCAAAGTTCTTGATAAAGAATCCGGTAAAAAAAAAGTTATTGATAACGAAAATGTCATTGGATTTACTTTCTTTACATTAAAACTTGGATTGCGACCTGACTTGGGGCGGGCATGGGTACCTCTCGTCGATCCGACCTGCCCTGACCCGCCTCATTCTCGACCCGTTCTTGCCTAAATTACATATAATCTTAGCCAAATTACTTAGAATTTTCTTCATATTACCTCATATTTGAGCTATAATAAAGTTGTAAATAAGTGAAAACTTCAATATCTCCAATATTTTAACTACATTTTATGATATTATGGTTTATTTCTTGGTCTTTTAATGAAAATAATTAATATTTTGAAAGTTTTTCACATAAATTACATACTCATTGGGTCAACCTAGGGGTGGCTATACGGTCCGGTCCGGTTAAATTGGCCCAAATTGATCCGGTCCAGTTCGGTTTTTTTGAAAATATAAGGACCGAAGATTGGATTGGATACAGTCCGGTCTTGATCCGGTCCGGTCTTGATCCGGTCCGGTCTTAACCCGGTCCGGTCCCAATTCGGTCTTGATTTTATATTGAGATTGTGGGAATTTGAGTGGCATAAGGCCTAAAAGGGTGAGGAGTTGGTTAAGTTTTGTACTAAGTGCAATGGTTTGTGACCGTTTATGCAAATTACCCTTAAGTTTTGGGTGTTGAGCTCTCTTATCCGGTCTTTATCCGGTTTTTTTACCTCAAATCTAAGCCCAAAGATTGGATTGGATTGTTTACTATCCGGTCCCGGTCCGGTCTCGGTCCGGGTTATACAGTCCGGTTTCCGGTTTTTCATCCGGTCCCGGTCCAAATAGCCAGCCCTAGGTCAACCTACCCCGACCCGCGCCCCATGATAAATTACCCGACCTGGACCCGACTTGCCACAGAGTGAGTATGGGTATCGAGATACCCGGACCGGAGCTGTCCCATTGCCATTCCTACTATATAATCACATTTCTTTTGCCTTGGAGATCTGGGTGAGTAACCAAACCAAGCATCGAATGAACAAGCTTCCTTTGACACTAGTGTCAAGTGTCAACCCGAATGAAGGCATGGCAATGGACTACTACTGCCCTGAAATTGTAACTCTGTGAAATCCTCACGATAAAGATGCTCAAGCATTGGAACTTCCATTACAATGTTAACACGAATACTTATCACCATAATCATCGAGAAACCGATGATTCTCGATGATGGCATGGAAGCAATGAGTGTCTTTCTAGTTCAGGTCTGATATGATGCAATACTCCAGAGAAAGAGTTTCTAAAACAGGGCAAATAAAAATGAGCATGCTGAAAGACTTGAAGTCCTCAGATTCGAATTTCCAAAGCTCACAGAATTTCAAATTAGGAAGAAAAACTGACCCGTTCAGTGTCATTACCTTGTGGAGCTTCACAACTTCAAGATTCTTCAAAGTGAAGCTCTCTGGAAGCTGGGGCAAATCCAAACTGTGTTGCCTCAAGAAGCATCATATCAATTTCCTCAATCTGAGACCCAAAAACCAATTCCCTCTTTTCGAAGTAATCTTGCATCACCTTCCAGTTAGGCATCGATACTAAAACATGCAAGCGGAAAAGCCATAAGGAAATAAGCAATTGAAGTTCCTGTGCAGGCCAAGAACCCTTTCAATGAAGCGGGAGAATAGTTTCGTCAAAACTTTGTTGCGGGTTTACTGCTATTAGATTGAGGCAAAAATGTCTTTAAAGTACTTTCTATTTCCTTGTGCACAATGTTGTTGATGTACTGCTACAAACATTAGTACATTACACAAATTTTTGATGCTCGTCATGGAGAAGTTTCAAAGCTGTATAGCACTGTTATACAGTTGGTGTGCCCTACTTGCTTCAATAAATTTAACCTTGGAAAGTAGATAATGAAAAATCCAGAAACTACTACTATCAAATACCAAGAAATCTAGTTTACATGAATTTTACACATTCTGATAAGCAAATGCAACGAGGACCACTTAACTAGAGAAGCCAGCAAAGTATTAACATGGACTTAGATCGTTTAACTTCGATTTGTGAGGAAGGATGGATAAAGCGAAGATTAACTAAAGCGAAAGCAAGTAGATAATGCAGATACAGAACAAAGAAGCGGTAATTGGGATTTTGAAGGCGAGACCACATAACTACACAAGACATCCTATATTCTTAAGCCGAAACATCATTGGCCTTGGATTCACAGTAAGAACCGTCTTTGTCATCGATTTCCACTTAGCTATCTCTGTCGAACTCATTCTCAAATTCCTCGTGGTCGTCATCATCGACACTAATGCTCATATCTTTGCTACAATGCAAAAGGCGAACATCACAAGCACTCGAGCCTTTTGGCAGTCTTCTTAGCAGTGAAGCAAGCTCTCTGTTTTTTTCTCTGTCAATACGAGCGTGAGCACGTATATTCACCTTCTTGAGGACAGCTCCAGCCTTGAGCAAATATGCTACCATTTTTATACCATATTTATCTGCTGAAAGACCTTTTATCTCAATTTCCTCTAGGCTGGACAGCAAACACTTAGGGGCGGAAGGGGGTTCTAACTGCTCCCACACCATTGGGTAATCAGCCATCTCCTAATTATCTCCAGAAACAAGTTCTTAGTGTTCGTACTCACTCTGAACATTAGTGAAAGAAGTTTCCAATAAACAGATAAACGTGGAACTCACCAAGTCGATGACGAGAGCTTGTAATTTGGAGGCTGAGTGAAGTAAGGAATGCAGAATGCAGCTGGTTCCAACAGGTTGGATGATCAAATGTGTTAAATGGGGGAAAACAGGCAACTGAACATCATCCAAACCCAACAGAGATTCCTGAAAACAAGGGTTAACAAATCAGCACTACATCGATGAGTAATGAAAAAAGTGTACTTTAGAGAGGAAGGGGAAATGTTGATTACAAGAGTCGGCCAATCTAATGACATTTCTTTTGCATTGGAAATTTGGGTGAGTAACCCCATCAGGCAATGGATTGAGATGGTTCTGCTCTCACCAGTATCAACCCGAGCTGAATGAAGGCATGGCAATGGACTACTGCCTAGAAACTTTACGTCCGCAAAGCATAGCAGAACAACGTGCTCAAGATTTGGCGCCTCGATTTCAATATCACACAATTCACCACCGATATCAACGTAAATCTTAAAGTTTCTCAAGGATGGCAAGGAAGCAGCGAGTATGTCATTCTCGTTGCCGTATTCTATCAAGCAATCATGCAGATCAAGAGACTCTAGAGCAGGGCAGCCAGAAATGAGCTTGCTCAACATCTCGAAGTCCTCGATCACTACTTGTCGAAGCTGTAAGATCTTCAGACTAGGAAGTGAAACTGGCCCGTCCGCACCCATCATAACATGGTCGAGCTTCACAGCTTTAAGATTCTTCAAAGTGTAGAAGCTCTCTGGAAGCCACCAAATACGCGCGGGACTTCCGAATTCCATTGCCCCCACAAGGCTGACATCGATTTCCTCAACCAGAGACCCAAACACAGATTCCCTCGTCCGCACAAAATTTGGCCTCAGCCTCCAATTACGCCTGAATACTTCGAAATGTAAGCGAAAACGCCTCACAGCATTGAGATTCCTGTGCTGGCTAAGAACCCTATCTACGAAGCGAGAGAATTCAAAATCTCTACTCACTCGATTCGCTAGCTGCGTTGGTGAATCTCTTATCCAGCAGATGTCGAGCTGCTTGTAAGCCAGCTTGTTGTCGAAATCGAGATTGGAAACCCTAGTCCAGAGATCAGTCCACCGCCGGCTCAGAACGGCGGTTCCCACGGCGTACTTGGTTGGCAGGAAAGAGAGGATTTGGGAAAGGATTTCGTCCGGTAGGGAGCTCAGCCTGTCGTCGATCGCCGACCCCGGTAACTTCCCGGCGATTGTATTCTCCGGCGGCGTCTCTAATCCATCCATATGGTGATTGAAGAGGAAGTTGAGCCACGGCAACAACTGAAGTCGAGCTCTCTAGTCTCTACTTTTTAGCTATGACCTATGAGCAATTGAGCATGGTTGTCACGCCGGTGGCGTGCCACCGGTTGTACCGGGTTCAACCGGTATCGGTCATAAAACCGGCGTGACACCACCGGTATGACCGGCATGATCGATATACGAATCTCTAAGTAAAATGACCTTATTTTAGAGAATTTAATTGATAAAAATTATTTTATTATTTATTTTATGAGTATAAAAGTTAAATATTGATGTTATTTGTTGGATTCAAGTATAAATGTTTATATATTGACGTTAAATGTCATGTTTAAATATGAGTATTTATAATTTTATTTGTAATATTGACCGGCATGAACCGGCACAAACCGGTATGTGCCACCGGTTGAACCATTCCACTTGCTAAACCGGCACACTGGCATAAACCGGTTTGACAACCTTGCCTATGAGATATTGAGATTCTTTTCAGTTTTTCCGAATTTTCCTTCGTATAGTGGGCTTAGGGCCTTTTCTCTCTCCCCACTGACCATGTTGGGCTTAGGGCCTGGCCCGGGGAAGGGGAACCATTCTGACAAAAAAAACTGACAACTGGCCTTTAGCAAGTTCAAATTTCATACTAACGCCAATCTTGGCATCCTTGCTGCACGTCACCTACAAGGCCATCCAGAAGTGCTGGACGAGACTCGAGAGAGCTTTCATCACCACCATCTCGGAATCTTATCGAACCACTCACCGGATATTGTACTCTCAAAGCCAGTTTGAGACCTTCCAACATTGCTCTTGCTTCTGCTTCAATCTGCGGTCGAGAAACAAAAGGGAGAGCCTGCCTGTCCGTCGTAAATCTGTTCGTGGTTGTTAATAAGAACAATACCATTGGCCCGCCTCCTGGTGCGAGAATGAATGCACATAAACAAGAGTGAGATTACTTTAGAGAAGTTGCTTGCGCACTTATGGAGAAATTAGCTCACGGATCTTAGGGTGCTTATGGTTGATCGTCTTGCGTTGTACGTTTCACAAACCGGCGGAAACGAATCTGCTGAACAGAATTCGCGCCTCGAGGGGCAGTAGGCGGTCAGTATTTCACACTCTGATGTACCGAAAAAAATTCTCTACCATAATAGTCAACACTCAATAGGCATAAATCGAATGATAAACAAACGATTTTGGTACCGCTCATCCTGGAGAAAGTTCCAAATGCAGTAAAACTTGCAAATATACAATCCCTTAGCTAAAAGAAAGTACAAAAACGTACTTTAGAAAATTCTAAAGCAAGACAACAGAACTAGAGTTATTATCCTCGCCATGGGTATTAGACATCCCATATTCTTACTTGGCAACATCATTGACCTTGCTTGAGCGTTATCAATGGGAACCATTGGCGTATTTATCCGACATTTCATATTGTCGAGAACCGTCTTAGTCTTTATGTGTCCTAGTCCTCGGCTTCATCTTAGATTGATCCCATCATCGTCGAGCTTAATGTCGTTCTCTTCGCCAACAAGTGTAATGCGAACTTTACAAGTGCTCGATTCTCTAGGGAGTTTTAGCAGTGACCGAAGTTCCTTGCATTCCTCTTTGGTAGGATCCGAGAATAAGTTGACATGTAACTTCTTCAGTACAGCTCCAGCATTCAGCAAATATCCTACCATCTTCACATCACCTTCAAGTGGGTCAAAAGCATTGATTTCGATTTCCTCGAGGCTCGACTGCAAACACTGTTGAGTACCAGTAGGTTCTGTCTCCTCCCACCTCATTGGTCCATAAGCGAACCACTGTCCATCTCCCATAGCAAGTAAACTCATGTTCATATTTGCTGTGAGTAATTAAGAATGATAGTCATCATTGAAGAGATAGATATGGAACTCACCACGTTAATGACAAGAGATTGTAATTTGGAGGCTGAGTGGAGTAGGGAGTGCAGAACCCGGCTGCTGCACCATTCAGTAGGTTGGATAGTCAAATGCGTCAAATTTGGGAAAACAAGCCGCTGAACATCATTACCAGCTGACAGAAATTCCTGGAAACAAGGATTCACCTTAATCAGCTCCCTGCAGAAACGAAAAAGAAAATAGTGTGCTTCGGGAAACTGATCATTACAAGTGTTTTCCGGTCTAAGCACATTTCCTTCACATTGGAGATTTGGGTGAGTAACCTAATCAGGCTATCGTACGAGCCTCCTCCCTCATTAGTGTCAACTCGAGCTGAACAAAGGCATGTCAATGGACTACTACTGCCCAGGAACTGTAACTCGCTGAAATCCTCGAGATAAAGATCCGTAAGCATTGGTGCTTCCATCGCAATGGGGCACAAGTCCTCATAACCATCATTGCCTAAACCAACGATCCTCAAGTTTCTCAAGGATGGCATGGAAGCAATGAGAAAATCGTTCTCGTTCGCGACTACTACGGCGCAATACTCCAGACAAAGTGTCTCTAGAACAGGGCAACCGGAAATGAGCCTGCTTAATGAGTCAAAGTCTGTAAATTTGGCTTTCCAAAGGTTCAAGTTTTTCAAACTAGGAAGAGAAACTGGCCCGTCCGCACCCATTATAACATGGTGGAGATTCACATCTTTAAGATTCTTCAAAGTGTAGAAGCTCTCTGGAAGCCGCCATATAGATGGGAGATTCCTAAATCGCGTTGCGTCCCAAACCCACCACTCAATTGCCTCAATCTGAGACCCAAACACCAATTCCATCTTATCCAAGCAACCTTGCATCACCTTGCAGTTACCTTCTGACGCTGTCAAATGGAAGCGGAAACGGCCTAGAGAATCCAGATTGCTGTGCTGCCTCAGAACCCTCTCGACGAAACCGAAGAATCTCACTGCCTTCCTCTCTTCCGTCTCTTCTGGCAGAGAGTTATCAACGTCGCCGGAGCCGATCAGATCCTTGTAAGTCAGGCGGTTGTTGAAATCGAGATTCGATACCATAGTCCAGAGATCCTTCCACCGGCGACTCAGAACGGCGGTTCCGACAGCGAACTTGGTCTCGAGGAATGAGAGGATGCGGGAAATGATCTCGTCCGGTAAGGAGCTCAGCCTGTCGTCGATTCCCGGCGCCCGTACCTTCCATTCAGCATTTCTCGCAAGTTTACCAGGGTTCTTCTCCATCCACAGAACGTGCGGGCCTGCTGGGTGCCTTCTGATCGAGAAACCTGTACCGGGAGCTTGGTGATTGGAATGAGGCGAAGGATTTTCTTTTGCACGGTGACGCCTAGGGTTCACTTCAGGAATTGGGAATTGGATTTCACGGGAACGGAGAAAGGAAAGCGGAAGAGAAAGCAGACTCTATGTAAATAACCGCCACTGAGTCATTCCCACCAATTATCTGTGAATGACTCGTTTCTACTCCATTATTTTTCAATTATATAACTCTGTCATCTCTCATTAATCAATACTAACATTTCTCTATTTTGTTTTGATAAACCAATATTTTCCAATCAATTCCAATAATATTTTACAATTATATTTCAATAAAGCTTCCAATCATCCAATAAATAGTCTTTAGTATTTTGAAGACCGATTTCAACTATAGGTTATGTGTGGTTCAAAATAATTTACTTTGGAGTCTTTGTAATTGGTACATAAAGCTAACATAAAATATTATTCAATATTAGAAATTAGTATTATATATTACTTATACCCAAATAATATGTTTATTTTCATGATTGGTTTTACTCGCATATAAAACAAGATAATAAAACATATTAAATGAAATGCCAAAATGGTAACATTATAGTAGTAGCTTATATATAATCTAAAAACAATATATCATCTAAAAACTTTTGTGCAAATGACTCGTGCAAATGACCCCTAATAAGTGCCTACCACATAATGATTGTGTCTGTGACTATCAAGGCCATTTATAACACCTTAAACCGGTGTTTTCGTCCTCCCAACTCTAGGTGTTTTTATGACCTTTTCGGTTTATTTAGTCCCTAAAATGTTGCATTATAGTCTAGAATTGTTTTGTATTTACTGTAGACAGACTTTAGACGAACAATGCTAACTTTAGGTGTTTCAGGGCAAAATATCGGACAACAAGTGTAGGGAAGAGCTTAAGGCAAAGTTCACTGTTGAGATTCCCAAGTTGTGATATGAGTTCACGGGCAAATGAAGAATTTTATGGCGATGTTCTTAGAGATCAGGTCGTGAACCCTCCCAAGAAAGTGTGTGCATGTGACAAAGGGCGACCGCGACTTGAAGATCACGGTCGCAAGAAAGATCACGATCGTAAATGAGAAACTATGAACCTTAGGTGCTAGGGGTAAGACCTATGACCTAGACGTTAAAATTATGGATTGTAATGGATTTGTCTGTGGAATTTCTATAATATTACGTCTACATGATTGATTTTAATGTTTGTTCATGTTCTAATTGTGTGTGAATGATGATTTGGTGCTAACCCATGAAGGTGATAATTCAATTGGATCAAACTTAGACATAAATCAAGTAGAACAACTAGGTAATCTAGATGACATTGAGTTACTTAGTTGTGTGATTGTTGGCTCCTAGTTACAAAATTATGATTATCCCTAGCTATGATGGTCAATTACAATGACCATTGAGTTCGTCACCATAGCTAGGAGGCAAATTGGGTGCATGACCATTTACATTGCCTTATTAGATATTCTTGCACCTTAGACACTAGAAATGAAACAAATGAATTCGTTATTGTCACATTCTCATAAGCTAAATTAGGGGGGGAACATCCCCAAGTACTCTATCTCTTTCATTTTGACATTAAGTTTTAATAGCAATTGAAGGTTGTTAGTTGGTAACGTCATCAATTTTTAGACTAGGTAATGATTTAATCATGTAAGTAGCGATAGTTTCTCCATTCCCATGGAATACGACTTTGGTAAGGGGTCACTGCTATACTGCAATGCAAATTTAGGGTATACTTGTCCTAGTTTGGGGTTGCAAGTAGAAGGTACCAACCAAGTCTCTTTTAACACTTCATCAAGTTTTTTGCGATGTTGTTGAGGACTTTGTGTGGAAATATCGTGAAATTTGATTATTTGTTAGTTGAGTCATTTATTTTTGAGTTTTAAGTTTTATTATCTTTGAGTTTTTGTTTTACTATTGTATGCTTAACGGGTTGTTGGGATCCTTGTGAATATTTCATATGTAAGGAACTAAGGAAAACCTGCAAGTAGAGAAGAATAGCGTGGTGGAACAAGATGCTCGAAATGATGAGGATCCAAAGGAGCAAACTATATGTAAGAACTTAAGGAACACATAGGTTCTCTAATATTGCTCTCAAAAGTTTGGAATCAAAATTTTGAGATCAATTTGAGTGATATCACAATAATACAAACCACCATCCAATTTTGAGGGCTTAAGGATGCGAATCTGCATTGAAGACTTTTTTGCGTTCCATCTCTGTGGAAGGAATCCCTCAAGAGGCTATTCTCCTAAGGTTGTCCCCTTTTCCTTTGGTGGGATAGCAAGGATATGATTAGAAAACCAACAACAACATTCAATTGTACCTTGAAAGAACCTACGTGAGAAGTTTTGTAATCGGTATTTCCCACCTTCCATGACGGCCCAACTATTGGGACGGATCTTAAATTTCATCCAAAATAAGGGAGAACCATTATTAGAGACTTTTGAATGGTTTGACACATTACAAGATTGGCTCCAAGTGGACATATGTTACAAGGGTTTAAGAGGAGAATGTAGGAATCAAGTTGACATGACTGGTAGTCTGGTAGAGGCTCCACGAGCAACAAATATTGAATCAAGTGCATAAACTACTAGAGACATGACACTAAATGAGCAAGACTAGGAGATGATTCAAGAGAATGAGATCATTTGGCACTAAGAAATTTCTCCATGTCGATGCGAACTCACAAGAAAAAGGTGTGTCGTATCGAGCATAAATTGAATGATAAACAAAAAGTTGGTGTCGCTCATCCTGGAGAAACTTTCAAAGACAGTTTGTATTATTATCTTGCGGTTTCGCTACCCTACTTTACAATCATTTTTTTCCTGGGTGCTTGATGTTCTAGTATAATCACCGCAAATAAACTTGAAACATAATTCCAAGCCTCTAGGGAAAAGAAAGTACAAAAAATGCAACAAAGAAACATACATAGGAAATTCTAAGGTAAGACAACATAACTAGAGTGATGAACTCTTTCCATGAGAATTAGACATCCCATATTCATAACTAGCAACAACATCAACCTTGCTTGGTTTCCAACATTTCATTATCTTGAGAGGTAAAACATCACAGACCTTGTTACCTTCATAATGAGAACAAGTCTTTAGTCTTCATTGTCCTCATCATCATACTCAACTTTTTCTTCATTGTTCTGGTCGACTTCTTCTTCGTCGTCGGTGTAAGTCTTGTCATCGTCAAACTTAACATATTTCTTGCCTCCAGCAAGTACAATGCAAACTTCACATGCGCTCGATTCTCTAGAGAGTTTTAGTAGTGATCGAAGACCCTTACGTTGCTCTTTGGTAGGATTACGGAATACGATTATATCTACATTCTTCAGTACGACTCCTGCATTGATCAAATTCCCTACCATCTTCACATCATTTTCAAATGGTACAAAACCATTGATTTCGATTTCCTCGAGGCTCGACTGCAAACACTGTAGCGTACGAGTAAGCTCTATCTCCTCCCACATCATTGGCCCATTAGAGAACCCCTGTCCATCGCCCATGACAAGATAATCATGTTCATATTTGCTATGAGGAATGAAGTAAGAAAGTTTTCATTCAAGAGATAGATATGGAACTCACCATTTGAATGTCAAGAGATTGTAATTTGGGGGATGAGTGGAGTAAGGAGTGCAGAATCCAGCTGCTGCAACTTTCAGTAGGTTGGATTGTCAATTGTGACAAATTGGGGAAGACAAGTCGCCGAACATCATCGCCTCCTGCTAGAAATTCCTGAAAACAAGAATTAACAAAATCAGTTCCTTAAACCAAAGAGAAGTGAACAAACATAGTGTACTTTCAGGATTCAAGGGAAAATGTTCATTACAAGAGTTCTGTAGTACAAGCACATTTCCTTCATATTGGAGATCTGGGTTAGTAACCTAATCAGGCTATCATACGAGCCTCCAGTCTCACTAGTGTCAATTTGAGTTGCATAAAGACATGGCAACAATGGAGTACTACTTCCTCGAAATTGTAACTCTGTGAAATCCTCAAGGTAAAGATACATAAGCTTTGGTGCTTCCATCACAATGCGACACAAACACTCATAACCATCGCCATCAAGAACACCAATGATCCTTAAATCTTTCAAGAATGGCATGGAAGCAATGAGTACGTCGTCCTCGTCCATGTCTGCTATGTCACACAACTCCAAAGAAAGAGTCTCCACAATAGGGCAACCAGAAATGAGCCTACTAAAGGACTCAAAGTCCTTAATTACCACATTCAAAAGCTCAAAGCTTTTCAAACTAGGAAGAGAAACCGACCCTTTTGCACCCATCACAACACCATTGAGCTTTGCAACTTTAAGATTTTTCAAAGTGTAGAAGCTCTCTGGAATCCACCAAATACAACTCCAAGGGGGAGATCCATATGAATTTTCCGGCTTAAGCTTAACATCAATTTCCTTAACCTCAGACCCGAATAGCAATCCTAGTTTATCCAAGTAACCTTGCATCACCTTCCAATTACGCTTTGTTATGAAAAGATGGAAACTGAAACGTTGTAGAGAATCGAGATTCCTGTGTTGGCTCAGAACCCTGTCGACGAAGCGGGAGAATTTTGACTCCCTCCTCTTCATATCTTTCCGAATCAAGTCAATGGCGTAAGGGGGCTTGATCTCCTTCCTGTAAACCATGCGGTTGTTGATATCAAGATTGGGAACCGTAGTCCATAGATCCTTCCAACGTCGGCTTAGGATGGCAGTTTCCACAGCGAAGTGGGTCTCAAGGAAAGAGAGAATGTGAGAGATGATCTCATCCGGTAAGGAGCTCAGCCTGTCACCCACTCCCGGCTCTGGTACCTTGCATTCAACATTTCTCGCTATTTTAGCAGTGTTCTTGTCCATCCACAAAAGTTGTAGGGTGCCTTCTAATCGAGAAACTGTAATGGGAGCTTGGGAATTGAGAATTTGATATCAGGGGGAGGTATGTTCATATGGAGAAAGGAAAGCAAAAGAAAGAGAAAGGAAATGTCATTGGGTTTATCTTCACAGCTGTAGAACTTGGATTGCTTTATTAATGAATTATAGAGGCGTTACAATCCAGCTGTAGTTGCGGTATAAAAGATACGAGTGGGCGTTCAAACCAAAGTTCTTGAGAAAGGAAATGTAACTGACTATACCTTATTTATGGTAAAACTTGGATTTTTTTATTAATGAATATAGAGATGTTACAATCCAACCGTATTTGCAGCATAAGAAAAATGGGTGGGCGTTCAAACGAAAGTTCTTGAGAAAGGAAATGTTGATGTGTTTACTTTGTTTACAGTAAAACTTGGATTGCTTTTATTAATGAATTATAGAGTGTTACAATTTAGTTGTGGTTGTGGTATAAAAAAAATGGGTGGGCGTTCAAACCAAAAATTTGGAGAAAAGAAATGTCGCTAGCTTTGCCTTCTTTACAATAAAACTTGGTTTGCTTTTATTAATGAATTATGGATGCGCTACAATCCAGTTGTAGTTGCATTATAAGAAAACTGGGTGGGCGTTCAAACCAAAGTTCTTGAGGAGGGAAATGTCATTGGTTTACCTTACCTTCTTTACATTAAAACCTATTAATGAATACAGAGGCGTTACCATCCTGTTGTGGTTGTCATATAAGAATGAGTGTTCAAACCAAAGTTCTTAAAAAGAAAATATCATTGGTTTTACCTTCTTTGTAGTAAAATTTGGATTGCTTTTATTAATGAATTATAGAGCCGTTACAATCCAGTTATAATTGTGTTATAAGAAAAATGGTGGCGTTGAAACCAAAGTTCGTGGGAAAGGAAATATCACTAGGTTTTCTTTATTTACAGAAAATTTGAAATTGTTTTATTAATGAATAACGTTACAATTTACTTGTGATTGCAGTATAAGAAAAATAGGTGGACGTTCAAAGCAAAGTTTTTGAGAAAGGAAATATCATTGGGTTTACCTTCTTTATAGTAAAACTTGGATTGATTTTATTAATAAATTATAGAGACGTTACAATCCAGTTGTGTTTGTCGTATAAGAAAAATGGGTGGGCATTCAAACCAAAGTTCTTGAGAAAGGAATTGCCATTGGGTTTACCTTCTTTACATTAAAATTTGGATTGCCATTGGGTTTACCTTCTTTACATTAAAATTTGCCACTGGATTTATAACTTTATTTCTCATTTTCCATTATAAATTTTTAATTAAAGTAGGTCAAATTCAACCCTCCCTCTCAAAATTTAGCCCCAAATACTCTAATACTAATTTTAGCTTTTCAAATCACTTTTCTACTTCAACCCAACATCCTGTGAGAACCCCGCTTCTAGGGATTCCCGATACTGATCTTCGGCACTCGTGATAATAAGGGATTTAGGGGTTGAGAGAAGGAATTAGGGATTTAGATAAGAAAGAATAGAATTGGAAATCGGCCGAGGCCTTGGACTAGGATGAGACAAGAAATTAAGAGTTGAGAGGAGAGATTAGGGTTTGGGAGACTTTGCTTAATATTCTTCTTGATTGATTCTGACGTAAATCCAAAATACATATTTATAGGGTGATACGAGAAAACCCTAATGATAATCCTAATTCGACTAAATCTCTACTAACCATAATTATAATTATCCTACCTAATAATATAGAAACCCCAAATAAATGTGTTTCTCACACATCCTCTTCAATTTTGCTTCCATCTTTTGTTTTAAATCTCTTTCATTAAATGTATGTGCATACTAATACAATTTTCAACATCAATTTTATAGTTCATCATTATATTGGAAAATATTTTGTTTTGGATTTTTTAGAATTCTGAAACCAATTTTTTTTTTTTTGTTAATGTACATATGTATTTTGTGACCGATTTTGTGGCTCTCTCATCCTTATCCCTCGAAAAGCAGAGGAATGAAATTTTGGATGGTTTGTTGTTTTGTTGCCCATGGCACGACCTGTCCAGGTGGTAAGGTTAAGGGTAAGATGCATGGTCGTCTATGTCAACAGGTGACTAGTTTGAAGTGCCTTTACAGGGGATTTGGGCCTCGTTGGTTTTGCATGTCTGTTTTTTGTTTCGTTTTGTAGGAGAAGTTGCTTTTTCTTTTGACGTGTTGCTGAATGTATTCAAGTATTGGTGGTGGTGGCTCGCTGCATGAGTTGATTAGAATTTGCATTGACAAGCATTGGTTGCCTCTTCTTGTATGCTCCAAGCATCAACTTGTTAGAAGGCGGGGTGTTGCGTTGCAGTTTATAACCTTTTATAGGTTTACGGTGTGTTTTTCACTGCATTCATAGGGATTTTGACAGAGCTGCCCAATTTGTGACACAAAAGGCTTTTTTATCGACAACTTGATTACCTATCGATTTTTGCATTTGCTTGTTTCATTTCCTGCATTTGTGTGCACATATGGCACTGTACCCGCTACCTATGTTAAAAAAATGAACGTGATAAATATAAGGGCTAATACCACTAAAAATACCAATCTTTAGCGACTTTCCCATATGCATTACAAAACTTCAATAATTATTGTAATATACCAACCTATTAGGAGTCAGCGTCGTTTGTATTACGCGAAATTTGGTTGGCCATTAGAGTTAATTGTTGACCTAACGGTGGTCAACCTTCTCCTGACCAATGATGAAGTGGCGCTTATGTCTCGTCCATGTACGAGCCATATAGGAAATTACAAGACAAAATACATCTCTATAGCCAAAACTTTTGCGTATGTGACAATAATAGCCACTTTTTGAGAAATACAAAAAATAGCCAGAATTTTGAATGTTGCATAACAAATATAGTCATTTCCTCTAAAACTTTAATGGTGTTACAAAATTCCGACTATTAGGTTAATGATAAGCTGATTAGAATCCAAATCAACACACACGTCAACAAAAACTTGATACAATTTGCCACCCGGATGACAAGTCATTTAAAAATAAAATTAGAAAAACAAAAACATTCCCCTAGTTTCCATCGACAACCCCTTTATGCCTCTCTAGAAGCTTCCCAAAATCAAAACCCATTTTCAAAAAGAAAAAATTCAAAATCTAGAACAATCCTCCCCCGTATGTGTTCTTGGTCTCTTGGCTCTTTCCACTAGGCAGAAATAATTCTCCTTACTCATAGGTAGGGCTGCAAATGAGTCGAGCTGCTCGCGAGCGGCTCGGCGTTCGATTCGAGAAAAGCTCGTTCGAAACTCAATTCGTTAATAAACGAGCCGAACACGAGCTCACCTATGTTCAGCTCGTGAAGCTCGCGAGCTAGCTCGACTCGGTGGCTTGTTTAGCTAAACTCGTGAGCTGGCTCGTTTAGAGCTCATGATATGTCTTAACATGTGGCTAGAGAGCCAACTCGATTACCAACTTATGGACGAATCAATCTATATCTTATGATTTTAATTCATATGGTTGTTAAATTATATATCTCACTATATATAAAGTTTAACACGTTGAGTATGTGAGCAAATATATCTTATTTTCTACTTTAATTGCTTCGATACTATGAAATAACATGATTTGGAGTAGTTAAAATTTATTAGCTAAATGATATATGATACCAACAAAGTATAATATGAGATTAACTAACAAAATAAATCATATGTATCATGATATACAAAATGAAGTACCAATTAAAAGTTAAGATTTTAATAAACAAGCTAGCTCGAACTCGACTCGGCTCGTTAATAAACGAGCTGAGCTCGAACTCAACTCGTTTATTAACGAGCCGAGCTCAAGCTGGGGTAAAACTCGACTCGGCTCGGCTCATTTGCAGCCCTGCTCATAGGAGATAATGAATGTTGCTGCCACCACAGACTCTCCCGCCTTATCACCACCATTATTACGAACACCTCTCACTGTCGCCGCGATCTCACCACTCCATTCGACCCACAAATCATTTGAAATTTGAATGAATTTATTAATATAAAACCATAAAAAATAAAATAAAATTTATCCAACCAACCGGTATAGTAAAAGCTAGATTTTATAATTATGAGTTTTTTCCCATTTTCCCGCTTCTCTATCATTATGTAAACAATTATTTGTAAATTTTCCCAATTATTTTGGATTATTGAATTTAGTCTACACATACCCCGATGTGGAAATTTTGGTAAGGTCCTTCACTCCATTTTCGGAGGATGGTTCTTGAGGA